TTTTTTTTGGGGGGGGGGGGTCTTCTGTGTGATGGAACTCCCTGGATTTATACCTGATTGCATTATCTTGCACTGGTGAGTACAGAAAAGGCAATATAAGATGTTTACACAAGAGCAGCAGACTGTGTATCCAGAAAAGATGGGGTCTGTATCAGAAAACTGTCCAGTCCAGCAGTGACAGGCAGCGGAGAGCCCCTGCGTGCTTGCAGCGACGGCCGGTACTCAGCTCTTGTGTACAGCAGCAGAGGAAGGAAATAAAGCAGGGAATAAGAGAGAAATTATAGGGGATTCCTCTTCTCTTCCCCCCTCATAGGCCTCTCTCTACACAGCTACCTCCTCCCAGAATTCGGCGACTGCCTGGAAAGTCTTCTGCCTTGATGCAATTGCAGACCAGAATCAACGAGTCTCTTCAAACCTGGTGTTTGTCAGCAAAGATAACCAAGTGCTTTTGGTGTGTCTGGGAGAAAGCCACCTCTGACTTGCTCCTAGATCTTTCTCTAAGCAATTTTAATGTAGAAGTGGGAAAATTTTAATTTTCTCATGCCTTTCAGCGTTGAAGAGGTGCTTGGACAACACCCTGAATAGCATGCTTTAACGTTTGGTCAGCCCTTTTTGGTCAGGCAGTTGGACCAGGTGATCGTTGTAGGTCTCTTCCAGCTGAACTATTAATTGTGAAAAATAATTGCTCGTGAAAAGGTCCTAACAATGGATTATTATCATTTCTCTGTACAGTGTAGCCGTATTGAGTGAATGAGTGCTCGGATGCAAAGCCCAAGGCTGCTTGGCAGCAAAAGCCAGGTGATGCGATTTTGTGAAAACATTTTTTTTCCGGTAGGTGTTTCAAGAATGGCTCAGACCTGACCTGTCACTCGATGCAATCAAACACTGGTGAGCTCTGTACAGGTTACGTGCCAATAAATGAGAATTCCCACAGTCTGCCCCAGCTGTGGAATCAGCACATTGCTTTCTTTTGCAAAACGATTCGAATTACCTCATTTCCTCTGAGGAGAGGAGGTTTGCAGAGCTGAGGACGTGAAATGTAACTCAGCGGCACCAAAAAGACCTGCTCGGAGCTGCTCGGTGTGGAAAGCAGGGACAATAGCTTCAAAGGCAATGCTGCATCACCTCAAAGAGCTGCTTTCAGGTGTTCAGAGAGGGCCAAACCCTGAATTCCCAGTCCCCAGGGCTGTAAAACATCCTCTCCTTGCAGGTGGGAGGAATTTAATCAGGGCCAACGGGCCACCACACGTAAGGAGCTCCTTGCAGGTTCCTCGCGTGGGGTTCTTGTCACCGGCTCCTGGGACTAGGCAGGGGCTGAAGCTGGCCATTCCCCCGGGCACGGGCTGCT